CGCCGCTGGCAGATGTGTTGCATTAAGAGAGACCTACTTAATGGGCAATCATCCCCGGGTACCTTGCAAGTTGGACAACATCCTTCAAAGGGGACGCGGCAGATTCCGCACACGTCTTCCTCTGGGTCACCGTTCTCATCTGTTTTACCTGTGTCCCATTGCCACTGGGCAATGGCGTGCCACTGTTTGACGATGACCTTCATGGTGGGGTTCGAAAGACGCGTTTGTTTGCCGTTGTGTACGCGACAAGACGGCGGCACTGTCGGACCGAGTTGCCCTCGGCTTCACGTAAAAGTGCCAGCGGGAGTCGTGCTGCCAGCGGGTTGCCAGCGATGTCGTGGTGGAAAGAAGAGAAGACAGACGCGGTTGGAAAAGGATTGTTGGAATGGCGGGGAAGTGTACAACTGGATGACAGGCATCAAAGGAGCAAAGCAGTGGACCAGTGTGCCTGCCCTAAAGCTTTGATGCCCCCAATTGATTGGCTGCTTTTCGTCTCAGCCTCGAGCCTCTTGAGCTATCCTCCTTGCGTGCGCATCAATCCACATTCGAATCAGTACATTCCTGACATATCTACCATCAAATCATCCAAAATGACTACCACCACTATGCACTTTGGTCCCGAGTGGATGCGCCCCAAGCACCCGTTGCGTCCCCAAAATCCTCCTTCACCTCCTCCTAACCCCCATGCGCCCTCTGGCGCGTCGTCTTACTCGGCGCTCCTGACCCCTTCGCTTAACACGCAGGAGCCATCAGACTCCGCGAATCCATTCCTCTATTCGAAGGAGGACCTTCTAAAAATTTATAAAGATGGCGGTGGAAGGGGAGGACTCGGACTTGAAGTTGAGAGGTGGGAGGGCGTGGTTCGTGAAGTTGGATCTGAACCCGTTTCACTGAAGGAATGGACCGAGGGAGAGAGAAAGGTGCATTTGACTTCAAGCGCACACTTTGGAGTGACACCTTACCTCATTGCTCCCCAGCTTTTCACCAGTAGTTCGATCAATTCCGAGGTGCGCCGGCGTCAGTCAACCGACTACCTATCACCGCATGCGATGCAGTCCGGTGAAAGGCCAAAACATTCTCATACGGGTCCTGGAGGGGCACCCCTGAGAGAGAGATTTGGTGGCATGATGAGGAAAAGAGATGGCACAGGTGCGTATATACTTTTCTTTAGCCCGATGTGGAAGGACGTAAACGCGAACACTACAGACCAGCCAGCTCAGAGTATGCCACGAAAGCTCTCCTTGTCCTCCCCCAAGGTCCCCATGGTTCTCCGCGTGATTCTGGCTTACCATCTCCACGTACACGAGGTCCTCTGGCGCCAGGCTTTGATGGTATCCTGAATTCAGGGGAGACCTGGGTATCCAGGAGACGGGCATCAGAGAGTGGCACAAGATTGAGTTCTGGTGTTCACCCCCGTGTTGACGACGATGACGAACTGCAGTCCGCGAGTAGACTTAGGATCGACGAACAGGAGGAAGACCAACATCGCCACTCAGAATCCATTGACACTCCCGATCCTCTCGGCGAAAATGTTCTTCTCGAAATATGAGCGCCCTATCAGGAAACTCTCAAGGGCGTGAGCCATCTGTTGTCGATAACTCGCCGTCTATGAATGGCACGGAGAGGCCATCTAGTCCTACATTTCACAACCCTACGCACTCCGTCCCGACAGAGAGCATTCCTGTTCAGCCCTTGACAAATCCCACTCCCGTGACCGCTACGTCGCAAACTGTCACTAATCCTGCTACCATTGAGTGGACATATCTCGATCCTCAAGGGAGTGTGCAAGGTAAACGCAAGCCCCACCAATCATCTTGCATCTAATCAATTTCTCTTTTCAGGCCCATTCCAAGCGGAGCTTATGCAGAAGTGGTATGAAGAGGGCTATTTTGCCATTGATCTCCTGATGCGGCGTGTCAACCTTGACGAGATCTGGACCCCCGTTGGAGAATTGGCTCAACGAGCCGGTGGTGAAAGGGTATTCTTTTTCAATTTTGATACACCTGCCGTACCCCCGGGGCTCTCACGTCGTCGTGAGCCTTCTCGAGATCCCGTTCAACAACGAGAGACGAATGGATACAATGCTCCGTATCAACCAGTACCTACTAGGTCGGTTCACCCTTCCACCTTGGACTCGTACTTCGCCTCCTCGTCTCCTGCTCCAACTCTCCTTCATCGTCATTTGGTACTGGCCGATTTGGGGACAATTCTCCCGATCCTGCTTCGTTTGGGGGCCTCGTGGTGTCGCCTATATCTTCGACTGATCCACCTATTGGTCCGCGTTCGGGAAATGTTATCGACCCGGCGTTCGTTGGCGTTCGGCGAACGGGCTACGCTGACGCTCATTTTGAACAAGGGTTTAATGTTCGAACCGGACTTCCTAATACTGGGTCTGTTCGAGCGTCATCCATGGATAGCTACAGTTTCAACTCATCAATCTCTCCCCAACCTCCATGGACTTCGTCGAATTCCGTACATCCTGCTCCACTGAGTATCCGCACCAATTCTTACGACCATAAGGGCCCGAGCCCATTCACATCACATCCCTCTGCGGGTTTGGATCCTGCTTACCCTGGCGATTCTTCTCTAAGTAGGGGGCTTACAGTACAGCAAGAACCCCTTGGACAAAGCTATGGTAACGTCGTCCAGCGTGATCTCCCCCGCTTAGGGCCCAGGGACTTGTATCAACTAGAACAACGCACAGGTTTGGGCTTGGGAGGGTTTGACGGGACCCCCAGTGTCTCACCATTCGACTCCCCTGTCCAGCATCCACCATACCCTCAACCGCCTTCCATGAACTTGGCGCCCCAACAAGCTAGCAACGCATCAATTCCTTCAACCCTATCGCTGTCTCAAACTACCTGGAATGATACGACTGATTCAGCGCCAAAGCGTACTGGCTTGTCACCCTTTGATACCACGCCCTACCCCACGTCGCGGAATACTACTTCGACCCGCACTGCGCCACCACCCCCAGCGCAGTCATGGGCTCCCATGAAGCAGCCGACTCCAAGTGAATCTTCGCAATCACCATGGTTCAGTGCCGCTCAAGGAATTATTGATGAAGGCTGGGGGCATGTCCCTGGTCCGCATAGCCTGACCGTTAGTAATCTTACCCAGCATACACAACAACAAGAGTCTGGTGAGCATTCGCCCGGGATAGCGCTGGAGCCTTGGATAGCCCTTTGGAGCCAACTTCCCTCCAGGATGCTTTGCCACAGCCGGTCCAGAGTTCCTCTATCCCTGTCCCTCCAGAGCCTCCACAGCAGCTTGCTAGGCCTGGCCGCAAGTTCTCTGTGCAGACAAATTCAGCTCAACCAAATGCCCCCACTTCGTCAACTCCCGCTGCCAATCAGCTCGCAAAGGAACCCACTCCCCTTCTATCCGCTGTATCGGCACCCACCAAACCTGTTTGGTCGACGGAGGATGATAAGAAGAAAAGTATCGGAAGCCCAACGAGTCTCAGAGAGATTCAAGAAATGGAGGCTAAGAAACAAGAAGCACGAAAGGCTGCTGAACGGGAGCGGACCCGTGCTGCTGCAGCCCCAGTTTCCGAAGAGTCCCAGACCTTTACTGCATCCTGGGGTCTCCCCACGTCTCAAGTGGTCGCGAAAACGTCGGCTAAAGACCCGCCCGGGGTTATTGTACCTTCTGCGTCTGCTTCAACGCCCGCATCTGTTACACTGTCGTCTCCGACCCATTCATCTACACCTCCTGTCGCTGTCTGGACGAATACTCAAAAGCCTGCCACCAAGAAGTCTATGAGGGACATATTGGACGAAGAGGAGAAGCGGAAGAAAGCGGCTTTTAAGGAGCCCATTGCGGCCATTGCATCTCGTCGTGCATATGCAGAAACCACTAGCAAGGTAAGGAGAGACAAGTTCCGATGTGTACCGGCTTTGACCAAGTTTCGTACCTAGGTAGGCTCGCTGCCCGTTGGCGGGGCATGGACCACTGTAGGTGCCAACGGAAAGACAACGGCGGCTGCTGTTGCTGCGTCTCCTGCTGGACGTCCGACGTTAACCCCATCTACGTCCATTGGGTCAGTGTCCTCGCCTAGAGGAACTGCCACCACTGCTGTCGTGCGCATGCCCGTTCCACCAGCAAAGGGACCTTCTGCCGCCCCCAAGCCTGATGACACACCCGTCGCGCCTTCACCCGACTTCATGAAATGGCTGAATGACTCGCTGAAGCAGCTCAACAGCAGCGTTAATTGTTTGTTTCCTTCTCTACTGCCTTACCAACGAAACTCGCTGATCGGCATTTGGGGGTTAGATGAAGAGATTGCATCCATGCTGTTGTCATTCCCTCTCGATGGCGATGCTACGACTGCTGAAATCATCTCTGAGCTGATTTACGACAACAGCACAACGCTTGATGGCAGGCGCTTCGCTCAGGATTTCATTTCGAGGCGCAGGGCGGACGTGGCTTCTAAAAAGCCATCGGGACGTGCACCGTCGATTGCCGATGTTGTGAAGGCACAACCCAAACCCTCGCAACAGACAGAGTGGGGTGGATTCAAGGTTGTGAAGCAGAAGAAGAAGGGTGGCCGTTCATAGAATGTTTACAGTCACCCCTTCTACCGATCAGTCAGTGGTGAAGGGTTTAGATATCGTAACATGACTTTCGTAATGGATTTATTACCCGCATCTTAGTCGTTACCTGCGCGACCAGGCGACGCGACGACGGGCAAAAAAGCGCGTTACAAAACTGGCACATGGTAACCCCCAATGAGAAGAGAAGCATGTTCACTGCAGCACCCCTGGTGGGTTGACACTGATTGATAGTGGTTATGTACTTCATAAGACTGAAGATGTTGGTTCTGTCGAAAAGGTCCAGGTTGTTTGTTCGCGCTTAATTAATCGTAGTCCAAGAAAGTCCAGAATGAGGCTAGCATGAGACATCATTGGCCCATTGTTACTACTTGCCAGAAGGAAATGTAGTGTCATGGGTAAGACATTGACGTGACGGGATTGCATGCAGAAAGAAGAAAAAACTCTAGCCCACCGCGAGGGTCGAACTCGCAGCCTTCAGATCACACGAACCGTGTGTACTCCACGCCCGCCGTAAGAGTCTGACGCTCTATCCGATTGAGCTAGGCGGGCATTATACTGGATACAGTTCAAACATATATGTCATTGAGCTACCCAATCATTTCCCCCGTGGTCTCATCTCAGTCTATCAAGTCTGTATAAATACTGCGGACGTGGCGGTGCTACAACTACAAAGTGGACTTGATAATCTGTCAGCTTTTAGCATGGGAAAGTGCCGAAGCGTGTGACATGGCGCCGTTGGCGGTGCTTGAAACGTGGGCGCACGGAACAAGGTTGATCATTGGCGCCTGCCAGTTGGCATTTTCTTTTTTTACTTCATTCCCCTTCCTTGTCCCTCCTTCATACCCTGAGAGCTCCACGATCTAATGTTTTCCTTCTCTCGTGTGGCCGCAGCTTTTGCTGTCGCACTTACATATCCTCGAGCGTATGTGCCATTGGTACGATCACGAGGACCGGTCGCTACCTCTATAGCTCCGACGGAAGTCGCTTTTTCATCAAGGGTGTTGCGTATCAAGAGCAGGGTAAGTACTATTTTTGTCAGGACTTTATACGTAACATAAATTGCTTTCACCAGGTGCCGCTTCTGTGGACCCCAATGCGCCCTTCTCTGAGCCGAGCACTTTCATCGACCCCTTGCCAACGGAACGGCATGTCAGCGTGACTTGCCTTATCTCACGCAACTCGGAGTCAATACTGTCCGTGTATATAGCGTAAATTCGTCTTTGAACCATGACACCTGCATGCAAGCACTCAGTGGGGCGGGTATCTATGTTATGTACGTCACGGTTGCTACCCGTGTGAACTTGGCAGCTCATGAATTTACAGCCTGGATTTGACTCTGCCCGTGAATGGCTCTATCGATAGGGCTGACCCTGCGTGGACATCAAACCTACTCGACTTATACATCGAAACAATTGATACTTTTCGAAATACGACAACTATTGGCTTATAATATCGGGAACGAGGTTGTTACCAGTCCTAACCAAACTGCGGCTGCGCCTTCATCAAGGCTGCGGCACGTGATGTCAAGGCCTATCTGTCCGTTTCCCTTGTTCCCGTCCTTAGTAAGCATTGGTTCTAACTTTTATTTCAAGAAATTCCAAGAAGTCGTCTGCACTCGTTGGCTATGCCGCAATCGATGGAGATGCCACATGGATTGTTCCGCTTGCAAGCTACCTCGTTGTGATCCCTCAGGAGGTAACTCTGGCAGCACTGCTATCGATTTGTTCGGTCTCAATGATTAGTGAGTGCCTAATATTCAATCAGAGAAAACCTACCTAACGTAATCACAGTGAGTTTGTGGAAATTCGACCTTCCAAGCTTCCTACGCTCCCATAACGGGTGATTTTTCGGGTTTAATGTGTTGCGTATTTCAGCGAATATGGATGCAATAACCCATATCCCCGCCCTTGGGCAGACGTTGCCGCACTGTTTGGTACTCTTGCCGCTCCCGTCTGGTCCGGCGGCGTTGCCTTTTCATACTTCCCCGCACAAAGCGACGCTGGCCAATTTGGCATGGTCAATATCTCCGGATCTACAGTACAACATCGACTGACTTCGCCAATTTGCAAGCGGCGTACGGTGCCGTGACATTCGTTAACGTTCCGCCACAAAGCAGTGCCCCAGCTGCAACGTACCCAGTTGTCCTGCACAAAACTCGTCCTTCGTCGCTTCACCTACGCTACCCCCTACACCTAACGATGCCGCCTGCCGATGCTTAGAGCTAACCTTGATTGTGTATTCAATCCCCAGACCTCCAACACAACTTCCATCCTAGGTCCGCTTCTTGATTCAGCGTGTAGTCTTCTTGGCACTTCTGGTGGAAACTGTAATTCGATATCTGCAAATGGTCAAACCGGGACGTACGGTCTTGTGGCGTCATGCGACCCTTGTAATCTCACTCTATCTGCTTGCGTTTATATCTGCTGATATTATCTTGATAGCCACCAAACTCTCCTTCACGATGAGTCAGTACTACGAAGCAAACAAACGCAGTGCCCAGGCATGCAGCTTTGGCGGCAATGGCACGGTAAACAGCAAAGCTTCTACGGCGTCGGCCTCTGCAGTTGCAAGCTCGTGTCTTGCGTCCGCTACAGGTACAAATGTCCCGACACCTCCGTCATCGTCGAGCGCAGGGGCGGCATCTGCCAGTGGGAGCAAGGGCAGCGGGAAGTCAGGGGCAACAATGTCTTCGTTAGCGATACCCGCGCCCTTCTGGGAGTCGTTTTGATGGTAGTGGTCAGTGTTGCTGGTGGCTTCTTGTCAGTGGCGTAATGGTTTGCAGTCTATGGTATCGAAGGACAATTATTGGACCCATTGACATTCCTTAGCACCAGTACTCTAGGCCTCTATCATAGTTACTGTAGAGGTGGGACTTTTGATTTTACCGTATTTAATTTTGTTTGGTGGAATGTGGCGTTGTCTTGTCGGAGCTTGAAAATGGGTTTGAATGAAGCCGAGCGACAACGCTTGAGCAACTTTCAAGGTTTCTTTTTTCCCATCCCTTTGTAATGGCTGCCTCTCCTGTCCCAGTCGACCGTGGTGATATACAAGTGCGTGAAAAGTGGTCGGGAAAAGAAGACAGACCTGGGGACTCGATGGCACACGGTGCAGACCTCCCTTCGAATGGTGGTCCTCCCGATGAACGTGGAGCATCGGACCCCGTGAACGCGGAGTATCCTCGTAGCCCTGGTGAGGGTGACGCTGGCCCTGGTTCCAGGTCTGGTGGGACAACAATCTACAGGGAGAAACAAGTCAAGGTGCTTAGGTCTTCTCATGTCTTTCGTTTCGTCCTTGCCACATTTGCGTTCGGGCATGGGCAAAGAGCATGGGCAGTCTAGTCAGTCGTGATTCCATGCTGCCTATTGCTGGCTTTCCGGAGACTAGCTACCCATGGCTACGATTTCACAGGCTGCACTTCTGCTCCACGTTTACTCTTTTCAACGTTCTGGACTCGGTGTTCACTTTCTGTGCTCTGCAGCCAAATAAGGTTTACATCGGCGGCTTGCCCGAAAACACTCGTCAAGAGGACCTTCAAAGCTGTTTCGGAAAAATAGGCAGTATTGTCAACATTGAATTGAAGTATGTATCTTTAAACTCTCTAAAAGCAATTCCTGACCCCATTCATTTCCTCTAGAGTAGGGTATGGTTTCGTGGTAGGTGCCTTCGAAGTGATTTAGGGTATTGGAGAAATCTCATTCTCTCAAGGAATTCGACAGTCGCGAAGCGGCAGAGGAAAGCGTCGCCAAGTACAACGAAGGTTATTTTATGGGCAATAAAATCCGTGTGGAAATATCTCGTGGTGGAGGACGATTTGCAAAATTCAGCGGGGATCCGGGTGCTTGTTTTAAGTGTGGCCAGATGGGCCACTGGGCCAGGTGAGCTCTAACTGTTGGATGTTTCCTCCTTCTGCGCATTGATTTGGACGTTCCAGAGAATGTCCCAATCACGTTGTACAGTCAGTCTTTGAAGTCCCTTCTGTCATGTTCCTCTCACGCTCAGTGATCTAGCACTTCTAGACGCCACAGCCCTCCTGGTGACGGCTCTTTGATCGATAGAATTCACCCGCCGCGTGACTATGCAGCCCCCCATCCTCATAGCCGAGAGTATCCACCTTATCGTGAAGAGTACCCTCCCCGAGGTTACCCGCCACCTTCCCGTGATGCCCGTTACCCATACGATTACCCTCCACCTCGAAGGCCTGTGTCTCCTCCGCGAGACTACCGCGATTATGCACCGCCCCCGGTTCGCAGGGGTGACGTAGATGATTACAGAATGCGTGGGCCTCCACCTCCACCTCCCCGTTACGAGTCTCGCTCTGGCTACTACGGCTCTGAGGACCCAGCTGCATATTCTCGTGGCTATCCCCCTCCGGCGTCTCGAGACTACGACCGATATGACAGGCGACCCCCTCCTCACAATGACCGATATGGTGGTTATCCTCCCCCTCCCCCTGCTGTGCGGCCAAGGACGCCACCTGGAGGGGGTCCTCCGTCGCGCCGGGAAGAATATACTGAAAGACCACCTGCCCGGTCCGTAGTATTTTCTCGCATCAACCATTTTCCTTACAGTTCATGTCCAGGGACTATGCTCCCCCAACTGAATACCGCCGCCCAGTCACCCCACCATCAGCACGGTACGGTGACTATCCTCCCCGCTCTGGCACCGAAGCACGCGCGAGGTCTGTGGTTTCGTGGCAATCTCTTCTACAGCGACACTAAAGCTCAAACAGACGCCGTTCCCAAAGCCCGCCTGCTAGGACTAGTACTGGTACCTACGAGACTTATCCTACTGCTCCAGGCTATGCTGGGCCTCCTCCGGCTCCTCCTAAGGGTGCTGCTCGCGATTATCCCCCCAGAAGTGGGCTTGATCAAAATGCGGGTTACAGGAGGCAGTGAGTACTTGGAGCGATTTGTCCGAAACTGGGCGTTGTGTCCGTCATCCTGCGCGAATGCGAAGCCTACATCTTGGCAGTCAACGCTTGTTCTGTCTTGATCATCGCCGTGCTGGTTTATCTTTCGCGTAGCTTGGTTGCGTTCTCCCCTGTAGTGCTTGCCGCCCGATGATTTATGTCTTGCGATATTTGCTTTGCCGTTTCTCTTGCTCCATGTGACCACTTGTTTCGCTTGCTTCTCACAGAACTAGTAACCTATTTAACAAGCGCTGATGTGAATGTGACATTAATGTGCTAAGGATTCCTGTCGTGCCTTGGTCGTCGGTCATGCTGCCGCTGGCAACAGACGCACCTCTGTCTCTCCAGATCTCAATGGTGACGGTGAACACTCCTTGATCATTGAGCCCGGTAAGCGGTTTTTGATTGACTCGGTCACGTATGGTACCAAGTAGTGCGTAATGACAAGTGTAATTATGACCGTTGAGATGCATTTGAATGTATTGTGGGATCTGAGATAACCACGTGGCTTGGTGAGAGTAAGAGACGTAGCGCGCGCCACTATCACAGCCACAGTTTAAGACCTTGTCCCCCATGTCCGCAGAACCCCAATCCAGGGTATCGTTAGATGGGCCCTCAAATGGCCTTGTAAGCCAATTCG